ATCCACATGATTAACAATTATTACATCCACATGATTAACAATTATTACATCCACATGTTTAACAGTTATTACATCCACATTATTAACAATTATTACATCCACATGGATGCAGTTAAATAAGGGACACGCAAAGTTGTGCCAAAAATACATTTAACAGGAACAGATTCAGCCTTACTGGAGGATATAATAGTGTAAAACGCAGAGCTTTTATTTATAAACAGATAGAATTTTCTGATGACGAGTGGCTCATCAGCCGTTTTGAGTAAAAATCATTTTTAGTTTGGCACTGCTGCGCTCTGGGAGCGCCACGCAGTGAGTAGCCGCGTGCGCCACGCGTGCACATGCAGCAGCAGCGATTGAACTGAGGTTCCACAGGAGCTTTCCAGAGGGAGCTGGCAGACCCATCAGGACTGTCAGTCCAGTCCACCCAAAGCAGAGTCATGACCAATGGAATCGTCTCATCCATATGATTCTAAAGGCTGAGTTATGGTCGCGCTCTGGAGCGTGCACACCCTCGCCGGCAGTGATGTTTCATACTTTGCGTTTACGTTGTTGCAGATTTCTCCAAAATGACACGTAGAAGTACACTTTACAACTTGTGAAAATGCTGTAAGTAGGAGAGCAAAAGCTTGACAGACAGAAAGACAGACTGAGCACAAAGGCTGCGGCACACGCAGTGTTTGTGTGGACTCTCCAACATCACGTCACGTCATGTGAACTCTACTGAGACGCAGAGACTCGTTTCTTAATATCAGCTATTAAATAAACAAAGATCTATGTTCTACCAAACATTTAAGTTCCTCTGTGTTTACAGTAATTATGGTAATAAAGTCGTGCACAAAGTGATGAGTCAGTTGCGCAACACAGCAGTTTGCGCGCACACACACACCGACACACAATCACTCGTTCTTTGCGTGATAAACATATTTTGTTCCTACTTTTACTTAGGATTTTTTTCTCACTCACATTATATTAAATTCATTATTTTTATGACATTATAAATCATTTCTGATCGCGCAGGGATCACAACATGTCCTTCACACATGCAGTAAGTAATTTGAATCTGTTTAACATATGTTAATGAAGGCGTGTCAGGGGAGGTGTCTTACCTGCGCTCAGTTCCACGTTAATTATGATGTACAAAAGCAATGTGCGTGGATTCAGGCGTACGCACAGTTTGATACATCTGGATTTTTTTGTGCGTACGCTGTTTTCTGGATTTGACCGTGCGTCAGGTTTCAGTAAGAAATCCACACAAGTCTTTGTACATGAGACCCCTGGTTTTTATTTTTCAGTTTGAGCTATTTTCTTACGGTAAACAGTACGTCTTCCCTGATTGATGGGTTGATTGATTTAACTTGATATTTGAAAGAACAAGATAAAAGGTTTAAAAAAAAAAGCTTCCCTCAACAAGCATTCTGAAAAAAACATGATAAAATTGGAAACAGCAGGCTGTTTTGGTGGATCCAATACAGTTTGATTGGTGGTTAGACAGTTAGTTGCATGACTTTGAGGAGAAATTTTAGTATTTTTGAAAGTTGAATTTACTACATAAAAAGACAAGAAGCAAACGGGTGGTCCTGAAATATTCTACTCTTATACCCATATGGTAGTTTTTAATTAAACAGGAATAATAAAGTAATGCCTGCACACATTCTGACAATGTTTTGATCCAAACTGGATCTTCATCAGATTCAACTTGATGAAGATCCAGTTAAATCAAATAGTTGCCAAATAAACCAGTCCTGTCTCAAAGAATAAGTGTGGAAAAGAACGTTTTTTACTTTGGTGTAAGTCAGATCCAGGAAGCAAATACAGAATTAGACTTAAATTTTAAATGCAAGTAAAACAACCATACAATACCACAGCTGGACCAAAATACGGACCGTTTATTCAGCCTTAGGTTTTGGCTCCAAATCAGGAAGTTGCAGCCAAATATAAACACCTTCTTCTGGATCTGGCCACTTCCAAGGGGCAAGCTGTCGCATCGATTGGACGGCCTCCCCATCAAGTGAACAGATCCTTTAAACATTTCTACAGACTGATGAGAAAATAACTGTGCTGCGTTTAAGGTGTGTGTTAACTAATCATAAGAACGTTCTGTTTAAGGTGACGGTGACGTAAGCTGCTCAAAACGGATCAACTAAATCACAGTTTAATCATAAAATTAGATAATTATGCAAAATATGTCCTAGTTCTCCCTGAAATAAAACTAATGCATTTAAAAATCAGTAATAAACAGAATAAATTTCTTCAAGTGTGCAATTAATACAACTCAGCACTGTTATCAGTATTGTTTGTCACCCTGGGGGAAAAAAACTTTTTACAGCTAGTGTTTGTTAACTCAAAACATTGTAGCACAATGTTTATACACATACTGTGTATCGTAAGGACATCTGAAATAGTTTTATTGTCTTAGTCTTATTGATCAATAGAGTTAAACACTGTAACATTTTCACCACAGATGAAGGTTTCATCTACAAACCCTCAAGGAACAAAGTTTAAATAAACAGTTGAATTTGAATTTAATCAATAAAACAAACAAAATAAATGTGATAATGTCAGTGCACAGGAAGCACTGGAGCATGGTTAGTCCAGATATGTGTTCAGTACAGCTTTACTCATTTCCCAGCTGGACTCAGACAATAAACATGGCGCTACACATTTTTTATTTTATTTATCGTCTGTCTCATCACGTGTGTCTGTTATCCCTTCCATTTATTGTCTAGTCTCTGCGTAAAATCACACCTCAGTTATGTTTCAGTTTCTCTCCCGCTGTTATTTGGATTTTGGGGGTTTTGGTTTTATTGTCGGGTGGTTTCCAAACACCAGATTGTGTAATTGTATCAGCAGAGCCCACCACAGATGCATATTTCAAACATTATCGATTGACTCAGTCTTTCACTTACCTCACTCAACGCTTTCTGTGCCCCCCGTGGCCAACCAAAAGGATCACATCCCTCTTTCATCGTCCAGGGCCTGCTGTGTAAAACATGACTGGCAGCAGGGCTTCTGCAGCCAAATATGTACATATATAGTCTTTAAAAATACAAAGATTATAAATGACAGGTAATTGTTGAAGATTAAACTAATGTAAATGAGTCTTCTGTTGCAGAGCACCTTTGTACTTCCACACATCTATCTACCAAAACCTTAGAGTTAACATTAGCCTTATGACATAATAGACAACGTTACAATAACAAAACATTTTAACAAAACCTTTAACTAGATGTGTTTTTTAAAATCCTTAATTCTTATCTGCGGCTCAGTTTAAACCAATAATGTTGGACGCTTGGCAACAGAAGAGTCCTTTCAGTCCCTGTATTTTCCCTCATATCCTCCCCCACCACCTACTGCCCCTTTCTGCTCTCCCCTGGCCTGTGCACGGGTTTGTAGCGCCGCTAAGACTAACATGCGCCCCCCTCCCTCCCCTTGGTGTTTGCATGCAGTCATTGCATCCAGCAGATCCTGGAGGCAGTGCTTCACTGCCATCAAATGGGCGTGGTGCACCGGGACCTGAAGGTGAGTGATGGGAAATTGCTTGGCTGTCCCCTCAGAGTTGTGTTTTTGTGTAAGTGGAGTTTGTGCTCGTGTTCTCTGTACTCTGTGGATTGAGGAACCGGGGATGTCGCTTGCTAAGAGTTGTGAAGGGCTGCGGAAATTCAACTTTAAATGATCTTAGGTCCAAACTTGTGGCCTTGTCGAAGCAGTTCTTGCACGCTGGACTTCAGCTTTCCTCTGCCATCCAGAACCTCCAGCTCTTTACAGCCACCTTCTTGTGCAAACATCATTCTAAGCAGATAAGGATTTCAAGCATTCAGAAATTTCAAGCTTGCAATGCAGGTCATTCTAGCCGACCAATGCGTCTGCTATGTAACCTTTTTGTAACAGGATTTGTGTCGCTGCACAGCTGTTCAATTTAATATCGGCCAAGGGGCCACTTAATCTCAGCTCTGCTTCATTTACTTGACGGAGAGAAACTTGTCTATTGATCATCAGATATCCTGTGAGGTTTATAGATGACCAGATGACCTGAACGCCACAGCTTATTTTCATTTGTAAAAGATTAGAATGGGAAGTTGGTTTTATGTAGTAAGAGCTTTATTTTTAAGTTTGGCCAATTATAAATTTAGAGTTGTTTGGTTATGAATAGTGTGTCATTTTATCCTCACAGCCCTCGGTGCACTCGGGGGTTCTGCTGATGCCTTTCAGTTCTCTATAGCAACTAATTTAATACGATCTGTATGTGAAACAACAAGGAGCTAGACGTCAACCTGTTTTCATTTTGTTTGTAACTGCTCTGTGTTGTACCTGCTGGTGTTTTGCGTTCGCCTGTGTGTTGCCTCTTGTTTTGCATGATGCACTTTGTTGTGTAGACCTCTATGCAAATGTCAGTCCCAGCGTTCCAGCAAAGGCGTGTTGTGTTGATCAGGGCTGTTGTGTCAAAGTCTTTATTTAGCTCACGCACCTATCCTGTTTCACACCCATGCACTGGAGAGCATTTCATGCAATAGGTCATAGTGTGATGACTGAGGACACCCCGACTGACACCAGCCCTCAAATTAGGAATAAGGATATGGCAAGTGGGATGATAACAGAGTGAAGTGTCGTTTTTGTTGGTGCCAGCAAAAACAAACTGTCCTCTAATGAGCTGCTCCTCAGATAATAGTTAACCTAATAGAAAAGTATTAAAGTTTAACTCAGGTTAAATGCCGTCTTATTTAGGGTTCTGCCTACAGTTTTTTGGAACACTGCTATTAAACAGGGTTCATGCCGGGTCTTAAAAAGTCGAAAAATTTCTAAAATTTGAAAATCTAAATTTTAGGCCTAAAAAAGTCTTACAAACGCCCAGATTTTCATCCAAGGTCTTAAAATGTACTTTTCTCAGATCTTAATTTTTTAACTTTTGATCATTCCTGAGAAGCGTTGGCTGCATAAATAGAGTAAAGCTCTGTAATCAGAGGTTGATGTGATCTGGCTTCATGAAGTGCTAAGTTTGCTACCGGTCTTTGTACACGTTAAACTACAAATCCTGTGATAACTGCAGGCAAAAAAATGGCACAGTTTACTTCCATGTTTTCGACCTCTTTGCTGTTAAAACCCCCCGCGTACAGCGGCATGTTCACCTGCAACACAACAAATTAGTTCAGTCGTGTCCACGGCTTGTGTTTTAAACATAGAAAAGTGTGTTTTCAATGAGACTTGACTGAATTATGACCATTTCATTAAAATAATATAGTGTTGTATTAAAATTAAATATTCTTTCTATTTTAAATTTCAGTGACCATTTGAATGTTTCTGTTAATGCATTGGTTTGGTCTTAAATGTCATTCCTAATGGTCTTATAAGGTCTTTAAAAGGTCTTAAATTTAACTTACTGAAACCTGCATTAACTCTGTGTTAAAGCAACTAAACTAACTTGACTGTAGTCTAACTACGGCCTAAAAAATTTAGCGCGTTTTTCTTTTTTTGCAAATCTGAAACAAATTCCAGCAGGTTTTTCTTTCGGCACTGCAGCAGTCCTTTTGAAACGAAGCAATGCAGCGCTACATCCCAGCTTCTTTTTCTGTAAACAGGTTTGCCACGGCATCTCCAGATTCTTTACAGATCAATAAATAGACACGAAGAAAGAGAAATCCGGGACTGGGAATCGTTCCATTTCAGACACCCACTCATGACCTGCTCTCAAATGCTGCTTTCCTTTTTTCCTGTCATCTGCCACAGTCCCTCTCTGCCCTCCTCAACCAAATCAGCTGCTCATCGTCACAGCTTTGTGTTTACGTTCGACTGTATTTGCCTGAAAAAAAAAAAAGAAAAAAAAAACGGACGGTGCACTCGGATTAACCAGATGCGTTTGTTGCGGAACGTTTTGAATGTGCCCTCGTTGCGTTGCGTCGCATGCGCGCACCTTTTTTTGACGGCAGCCGCTGGTTCATCATGAATTCCACCCACATTTATTTTCACGGATTATCTTTCTGCTGCAGTGTTGGCAGCTTGTAACTCCCCAGTTTACAAAAGAAAAGAAAAAACGGCCTAACCAGGCGTTAGAGCCAGGAGAATGTGATGGCATGAGGCACGGAGACTTAGGATTACTATTTCAGTGACTTTCTTCTTTTACTTTTGGGCTCCAATGCAGAAAAATGTACACCTTTAATGATCTCTGCTTTAGGTGCATATTATTCCTTTGACTTTCTAAAAACGAGTGGAGGACAGAAAACAATGAAAGGAAGGCAGAGGATGCGGACTGATGCTACTGCAGTGCAGCGGAGGCAGTGACAGAAGTGTAGCCTATAAATATAATGTCCTCATTCTTTCAGTTTAGAAACTTTACCTGCACTGCTGTTGTTCACCATCATCCAAGTTAGGAAACTGCTTAATTAGCTTATTAGAAGTACAGGAAGACGTGTTAAACAAATTAGATCTTAAGAGTCTCACTTTAGTCTCTAAAAGTGAAGAGAAACTTTTTATTATTATGAAAACTGCCAGGTCGACAACGCTCACGCTGCATCTTATACTTTATTAGAGTTCATGTTCTAATATATTCCACAAAATAGCCCTCACCATCACTTAGCTTTGCTCAAAATACTCTTCTATCTTTGCTACCAGTCGTGATAAAAACAATAAATTGCGTGAAATAATAAAAAATAAAACAAGTCTTCTTTTCTCAACATGTAAGTAAGAACATGTTTTCTTTCATAATGGCAGCAGAGCTCAAAAGGTCTGACTGACCTTTGAATTTTATAGTTTTGGTTTCACTGTCATCATGTGCATGCAAGGGTTGCCCGTCAGATATTAACTCACTTTCAGCTCAGAATCTTTATTATAAGTCGTAGTAAAGTTGGCCACATTGGTCTAGGTCAGATAGTTTTTTTTTTAAACACACAATGACGAGCGCTAACCAAGACTGGAGATAAATACACGTTCTTGGGAGTCAAACCTGCTGTAAAACCAAACAACTCAACTTGTAAAAGAGCAAAACCAAAATGCTGAACATAAATTCCTATAATTAAAAAATATAATATTATATAATATAATTAAAACATTACATTTAAGTTCAGTTTAACTGTTGTGGACAAACTGGTGTCAGTAAGTAGGGCTGGGCAATATGGCTGTAAAACTTATCACAATATAAGAGTTTCATTTCGGTCTGTATTGATAATTATTGATTCGTTTTAGACAACATCGGTCTGATTCTTGTCAGACTTAAAATATCTGAAATCCTGTCAAACTGGTGACCTTTCCTCTTTTATCCACAATTTCCTCTCGAGCTGTTCTGTTCTTTTTTTAATTTATACAGTTAATTAGACTTTTGCTGGCTTACCTTGTTTAGCTGCAAGACTTTAGGCATCGTACTGACACCGTCTTCAATTTGTAGATGCCTCATATCAGTGTAACAGCATCCTAAATCGCTAAGTAATTTCATATTAACCCTACGATGGTGGATCGGTCTAACAATCTAGCGTTTAATCGTTCAGATGTGCTGACAAGAAGGAGAAAGAAACACTGTTTATTTTTAGCTGACATTTGTTGAAGCTTTTATTATGAAGGTGAATCTTAGCTTTCCCGGTATTATTTAGCTGAGGTCCTATCTTATTTTATCAGAAAGTTATCAACCATTAGCAGTTAATAACCAATGAAATTATTGATATTATATCGGACATGTTTTCTGTTGATATTACACGTCTATTGTGATATAAATTGTTATATATATTAGTAAGCCTAGTCTGAATGTCCATTTATCAACTGAAATGGTTTAAATAAACAGATAGATTACTTTGATAACCATTTTAATCCAATCCTAACTGATTTGTTTTATGTAGATAAAACTATTAGTTATGCTGGTATTAGCAGTACACTGGACACCAATTAAAGTAACCCCGCAGTCTATTTTGTGTTATTTCCTGCCAGTGGCCTTTATTCGCCTGTCAAAGCTGCCAGATACCTTTACAGATGCAATGATTTAGTGAGAGGTGAGAGCGAGCAGAGACCAGTGGGGATATATGTCCATTATTAGAGCTCTCCTCTGACAGAGAATAATGAGGCTAGCTGCGTTATGTAGGCCACAGAGATGGAGCCTATGGAGCCTCCACTCATCACACGAGTCTTGGACAGAAAGGAAATGCAGACATGTTGCTGAAACACGGCCTAAGTTCTGCTGTAAAGCTTTTACATGTCCATGTGTCTTTTAAATTCAGTTTGTGTGAGCTGAATGCATTAGAGAGAATGTGTTGAACCCCATTGCAAACTTTGCATGCATAGCCACCTGCTCCTTTTACTCTACAAGAACTGTAAAAATGTTAGTTTTTTTGTTTTTCTTTTATAACCTTTTATTCTCATTTTCTTCTCTTCAGCCTGAGAACCTGCTCCTCGCCAGCAAATGTAAGAACGCTGCAGTGAAGCTCGCTGACTTTGGCCTGGCCATTGAGGTGCAGGGGGATCAACAGGCCTGGTTTGGTAGGTTCACTACATGCAGGAGTTGTTGTTGTTGTTTGTTTATTTAAGAAGGGACCGTGTATACTACAGAAAATGCCAGAATTAGCCTTGGAGGCTAGTTTTCATCTGTAGTCCCTCAAGGTCCTATAGATATAAAAACAATACATAAAAATCAGCAAGTTACTTTCATTAAAAAATTACTAAAAATATGGCAAAAAGCATGATTAAAAATAATAAAAAGCCATTTAGCACAACAATAACAATTCAAGGCAATACATTAAAAATACAAAATGGATAAAAGGATTCCATACTCAGTGTCTACACAGTTGATTGGGTGAATTTCACATGCATGTTACAAGGGTTCATGATGATAATAAAAAATAAAAAGCTCTTCAAAAATATAATCCAGTCTCTGTTTAGAGCCTATTAAATTAAAAAAAAGGTTTGTTGAGCCAATGCCTGGAATACGATAGTTTCTCATCAGGACCTTCTTGATTTTATAAAGGCTAAAAACATACATTTACAAGTAGTAAATAACTGAGACATCTGATTATATTTGTTTGCATGTTGCTAAAAACATCCATGTATTGTTTTTTCTTTAGTTTTTCCATTTCAAAATAAAACGAAAAAATAAAAACAAGTAATTGGGTGTTTTTGTTTACTTTTTTTTAGTATTTTTGTTTTAAAACTAAACTGGAAAAATAACCATTACAAAAATCTAAAAACTTATGTTATTTTTAATTTTAATGGTTAAAGCAAAGACAGGATTTACAGTTTGTTAGTGCACCGTTTGAGACTTTCTGTCGTAACCCGAAATCACGGAGCATTACGGAGCTCCACGATGACGCAAAGCACTGCTGATTTCAGTTTGTTGTTTGTTTTCCACTCTTAATAAATTCTATTTTCAATGCAGAATAAGGTTAGAGTGTATGTAGCCAATGCCATTCTTTAGGAATGGTTTTTGTTTTTAAGCAGTCCCAGCCACTATAAAATCTGCTTTGGTGACTTAAGTCATTTCTAGTATTTTTAGATATTAAAACAGCAACCATATATTTTATTTTGGGTATAAATAACTTTATTCAAATGAAGGAAATTTAATCTGTTTATCACTGATTTTTAAATGCATCACACATACTGTTTTATTCCTAGGAGGACTAGGATATATTTTGATAATGTATTTTGCATGAGTATGTATTTTTATGATTAACTGTGATTTAATTGAAGTGCAATCTGGTTTGAATGACACGACACAGTCACCTTAAACATAATGCACTTTACCTGATAGAAATGGTTATTTAATACATTCCTTAAACATTTACAACACATAAGTTATTTCCTCATTAGTTTGTAGACCGTTGTTGAAGGATCTGGTCACATGATGGAGATCATCCAATCAACGTGGCATCTTGCCCCTAGAGTTGCCAACTGTACTCAAGACTAATGTGCAAAGAAAGTAAATAAAAAAACACCAAGTTGGATGAGTCTGGCAGTTGTAACACCGATACAAATCTGTGTGTTTGTGACGTTTGTCAAACAACACATTCAGCTCTCCTTCACAATGCAGTGACTTTAGACCCTGAAGATTTCCCTTCACTGTTTGTCCAACAGTTTAAGGCTTACGAAGGATTATCTTTTCATTCACGCTCATGCATGGAAAGCAGCAACACGATTCACTGCCCCGAGCTTGCCAATCAATTGTTGTTGTTTTTTCCTGCAGGGTTTGCTGGCACACCGGGGTACCTGTCCCCTGAGGTACTGAGAAAGGAGGCATATGGCAAACCTGTGGACATCTGGGCCTGTGGTGAGTTGTAGAGGAGCGCGCTCATTCATGCACAACCTGCATATGGTGTTCCCTCAATGGTTACACACCAAAAAACAGAAACTTGACAAAGAATAGTTAATATTTTCATTTGTGTGTGTGTTTTATTCTGTGTGTGCGTGTCTCAGGGGTGATTCTCTACATCCTGCTGGTGGGTTACCCTCCTTTCTGGGACGAAGACCAGCACAAGCTGTACCAACAGATCAAGGCTGGGGCTTATGATGTGAGTCTCCTTTTCCGTCGTAATGCCCTCCCTACTCCTGCTGACCTCTTTCTTTTTTGGCAACTGGTTACGTAACTCGGTCACCTCATTCATATTTTAGGGGACGTGGGGTGGGGATGGGGGTGGTGTCTCACCATAGATCACATTGAACTTCATGCCAAATAAAGAGAAGAACCTGACTGACTCATGCCTAGACACAAAACGATTCTATGAGTTGAGAGTTTCTGAAGCTGGGGACCATTCTTGGGCTGACCTGGTCTGAACTCTGACAATGTTTTTGTTATGGACATAAAATGTGTAAAAAAGTAACAAAAGAATCCAAATACCCTTTAAAAATGTCCAATGAACCATTGGTTAAAATCGTTTCTCCAATGTGGAGTCACCAAATGAAGACAAACAACAACCACTGTGGTTTATAGAATTATTTTTTCCTAAAGGGGTCATTTGCAAAATCCACTTTTTTAGTCATTAAATACGTTTTGTTGTGGACATGGAGTCTCTAGGACTGCAAAAATTTTAATTTAGTCTCTCCTGGTGCTGCGTAGATATATTTATATTCTGTTTGGAACTATTTTGAACTATTACGTCACAGTTTTTGTGACGGAACGGCCAGAAAAGGTCTAAACTTACCAACTAAAATTTGGTCATTTTCATTCTCCTCTGGTTCTGGGTCAGTCTTTGGTTCTGGGTCAGACTCTGACTCCAATATATAAGGCTGGATGGACAAGGCTCCCTTTGTTAACATTTTTGAATTAACTTGTAAATAAAATGTTTCTGAGCAGCTGTATAGTCGTAAACCCCTCTATCAAACTAGAATGGACCACTCTGGAAGCTATAAGGGGGACGGGGTTTGAAGCGCCTCCTATGGATTTAAAGAGACAGCCTCCAAACGAGTTGATCTGAGACATGCCTCAGAAAAGAGGCGGGGCTTAAAAAGTAAAAAAGATAAATAAAAAGTTTCTGCACAGCCAAATAGCCGTAAACCTCTCTATCAAACTTGAATGGACTGCTCTGGAATGGGGTCTGGGTTTAAAGTGCCTCTTTTGGATTTAAAGAGACAGCCTCAAAACGAGTTGATCTGAGACATAGCTCGGAAACGGGGCGGGGCTTATGGTTCCAGTGGCTCCTTAAATGTCTTAAAAGGCAGTGAATTAATCAATCCAAAAGTTATGCCTAAATTAGCCTTAAAATGCTTTCAACTAATCTTTCCAAAGTCTTAAAATGTTAACACATTGTGAGGAGGATCATTGTAATTTGTCTCAAATATTAAAATAATTAGCTAATTTTTATATATATATAATTTACTGGTTTCCTCTTGCAGCTCGTTGTTCTGTGTTACAATAAACATTTGGGTAAAAGTGTCGCCAGCTGTTATTTTTTCCCCATTTGTGTTTTTTGTGAATTTCGTCTCAAAGTTTATTTTAAGTGACATTTAAAAAGTGTTTAAAATCTTAAATTTAACTCGCTGTAGGAGGGCTGTAGTAGCCCTGGTGGAGTTACAGTAAGGAGGAATTCAGGCCAAAGCGTTGCAGTCCTCCTGAGTGATTTAGATGTGAAAAGAAGGATTTAAAAGCGCGATAGGTCATAGCTCTGCCAGAGAACGTGAAGCCGTTTGTTTTGTCTTTTTCTCCAGTTTCCATCCCCAGAATGGGACACGGTCACCCCCGAGGCGAAAAACCTGATCAACCAGATGCTGACGATCAACCCAGCCAAGAGGATCACTGCTCAGGAGGCCCTCAAGCACCCATGGGTCTGCGTAAGTGTCCCATCCTCTGAAGGATGGCTGCACCGCAAAAAAAAAAAAAAAAGTTTCCAGGTTTCTTCCTCTTATTATTTTCTCCTCCTTTTCTTCCCAGCAACGATCCACAGTGGCGTCTATGATGCACAGACAGGAGACCGTGGAGTGTCTGAAGAAATTCAATGCCAGAAGGAAACTCAAGGTCTGTTTGCTCACTTTCCCTCTCCTACATTTAGCTTCTCTCCTCTAATAAGCTCTCATGTGAGATAAAATCACTTTTTCAACTCATCTTTTTCTCTTTAATGTCCTCTCTGGTGTTCTGTGGTTCCAAACAGTGTCTTAGTTTGTGGAAACAAATAAACTAAAGCTGAGGTTTGAAGTTATCGAACAGCTGATTTATTGCTGACATTTCGTGTGGATATAACAGCTTAGCCATTGGAGCATGACAGTCTCACCCCCGCTGCTTTCGGCCTCTCTTGGCACGGCTCAAATACCAGCTCGTCGGAAGCTGGAAACAGAAACACAGGTGGCCCCGGGGCAAATGTTGCACCATTCGGCTAACGTGCCACCAGCTTCAACCAATTCTCTCTGGCTTTTCACGTTCAAAGATAAATGGACGCCAAGAAGGTTTGACGTGCAGGTTCAGCTTTGACGACAGAAAAACAAAAACTGGAGACATCTTTATTCTGTCGGAGCATTTAAAGGAGAAGCAGCACATTTTGTTTTATCATTAAATAAAAGCAGATTAATGGGATCAGACAGCGCTGCTAAGAACAAAAGTTGATTTTTATTTTATTTTATTAGCTTTCTAAATGAAATATCTATTTGATTTTTAAACATTTTGTTATTCACTTTAATTTAAGTGTGCTTATTACAGTAATGAAGTGTTGCATTTATATCTATTCACTGAATGTTTTAATGCAGTGCTATTTTATCACCTCGAGCTGTAAATAAACACTTCGTAAATGTGTAAAGATTCCACGCTTCTAGCATTCTTCTTCTCCTTTTTTTGGTCTATTTCTTTCAGGTTCACACTTCGTGTTGCACATTTCGGGTTTTTCTTAGTTTGTTTCCTTTCGTTTGGCTCACTTTCGTTGTTACACATTATTTTAAGTTCATTTTCCTACCGTGTCAGGCTTTTTTTCCAGCTCAGCTTTTTGTTAATTCTTAACAAGTTGAACTTTTAAAAAAAACGATGAAAGGACTTCAATCTAACCACTGATTATTATTATTTTTTTAAAATCCTCTCAGTAATGTGAGGAACCCTGTAATTTGGAATCACAACGTTATTGTTATTCAGCCACAGCAGACTCTGAATTTGTCTTTTGCTGGTGTGCAGCGTGGGTGCATTTTTGATCGTGTGAGAACTGAACGTGGTTGATTAAAAGACGTTTTTTCTTTTTGTTCTACCTGCTGCGAGTCAAAAAAAAGAGTTTTTCTTTTAATTTCCAGGGATGACTGGGGAGCACAGTGTTTGTTATGTATATAAAGGATGTCAAAAATGATTATGGTTTACATATTAATGTGTTTTATGTTCTTTTTAGGGGGCCATTCTTACTACTATGCTGGTTTCTCGAAACTTCTCAGGTAAGAGTTTTATTGACTCATTAAACTTTGGTTAAATTAAATATTAGTGACAATAACAGTGTTTAAGGGAGAAACAGTCAATGTTTGGTTGATGGAATAAAATGTCTTCCAGTTTAGAGGTGGTGAAAAGTGTTATTTTAACAAATAGCAGGTTTCTTTCAAATCAAAATGATGATTCCACTTTAAGGCTTTGGAACTAAATTTTCTCTCTTGATTAAAGTAATATTTTAATGTGTAGATGTTTTTTAAGGGCATGGTATTAAAAGCCTAACCATTTCATTTCATCTCAGCTCAGCTTCAGTGTTTCCTGACAACTTTATTTTATTTTGCATCGCTCAAATCTCTCAGATTCAGCGTCATCATCGGTTATTTTACCAAGATATCATTAAGGATTTGTTGCTCTGTTTTAGTTTTATTGCGTCAAAATTCCAGCAGCCTGCTGGTGGAACATAAACATTCTGTTGACAAAAACAATTTGATAAATTCTAAGAATGGGAGGACATTTATGCCTGAGAAACAAAGTATTTTAGGAGTAACAGAGATTTTATTTGGATTGAGATGTGGGGAAACACTGAATTTGATCCGCAAGCTGAAGATGCATTTGTCTCCGTTCCTGTCTTTGTTTGTCTATATATTGCTGTTTTTGTTGACTCTCTTTATTCTTAGTTGTTTGTTTTAGTTGTTTGTGAAAATTTATAACCGATATCAGTAAAGAGCAGTGTTTCCCCTACCATTATACAGCCCCCACCCCAACGAGACGGCCCGCCCCTCTAAGAATTTCACGGCATGTAGTGATTTTTATTTAAATAAGGCCAGATCAAGTCGAGAGCTATTTTTTTGCGACCCTCCGTATCCAACTCTCACCAAACTTGGGGAAAAAGACGGCGCAGAGCGAGGCTGAGCGCTGTGTGTGGTCCTCACAAAGATAGGAAGATGTGTGTGAGATTAGACGCACAGCTCTGCTTTTAATCACGTAGCACTGATGCGACAGCTTTGCAAGCTACTTTTTCTTTCTTTAAAAGAAAATGCGACAGGTGAAGCCACAGCATGGTTACTACCTTATCAATAATTACTGCCTTTTTTATTTTCTCTGTGGGTGGGGGGTCAGCTTCACTCAGCTGCAGGTGAACACCTCCCGGGAAAGCACACTTTTCCTGGACTATTTTCCACCAAGGATTACGTCGTATTTTATATTTATTATGTTTCTAAAAGCACTTCGCAGCATTTCTCCTGTGTGTTCACGTCACGAGTGCAACAAAACCGCGACGGATCAGCTGACTGTTTTTAAAGGGAGGTGCAGCGAACCTGTCCACCTGCAGCTCGGCTCCGACCTGCCCGGGACTTAAAGTTCATACATGTCAACCCCTTCAGACGTTTAACATGTATAATGAGCATAAAAAATCTGTAATTTGCGCAAAAAAAAAATCAGTATTAATCACGCGGGTGGGGTGGAGTTGCGCTGACCGCAGCTGCGCGGGGTGGGGAGAAGGAGGGTCTTTTAAAGACGTGTCTACATTTGACTTTTATTTTTTCTAAAATCACAGAGTTCTCCGAGTCAGCTTCAGATGTTTGTAGTTAATCATATGTTCTAAATTTAACCAGGTGTTTCAGTGTCTTTAAATTACACAATAATTTTACTTGAGAATCTTGTCAGTTTGATTAAAAAACTGTATTTTTTTCTGTGCAGAGAACTTCCTCTGCTATAATTTATTTAAAATAAATATATCAAAGCTCTTCAGTTGAAAACACTAAAATTATTAGAAAAGATGTTAAAAAACTTCTTTCCTCAGAAAGTCTTCAGTCCTAAGAACACTAAACTGTAACTTATTTAAATAAAATGTTTGACCTGTAAGCAGAAAGCTTATGGATGTTGTTTATCTCTATTTCAAAGAAGAGTAGGAGGAGGAGAACGAGGAAGTTCTCCTCGAGCAGCTCCTAAAACTGTCAACCTGCTGACTGAGAACATTTGTATATATTACACTTTGTATGCAGAACAATATAACATATTTATTAAATTATATTTTTATTGAGATATTTTTTGGACAACCAAAATGTTTTGAGGACAACCAGATTTTGTCAAACCCCCACATGAGAGGTCACCACGGTTAAAAAAACCCTGGGAGAAACTCTGCTGAGTTAAAGTTCTTTTAGTTCTAATAATTATTAAAAAGGACCTGATTTGAGGTTTTTACTGATAATATTTTATTCAAAACATGTTACAGAAGTCATAAGAAGCAGGTTTATTTTGAACAAACATTACAAATGTGTTCATTCCTACAAAACTGTCAAATATATTTACAAACAACACTAAACTGATTCAGATTAACATCAAATAAATCATGTTTTATAATTAAATGTCTGTTTCCTGCTATAAAGAAAAATCCTCCTCCTGTCCTCCTTGTTCCTAATCAGGGTCAGGGTGGGGCTGGAACCTGTCCTCGCTGCCTTTGGGTGAAGGCAGGGGACACCTGGACAGGTCTCCAGTTCACCAGAGACACCTGGACAGGTCTCCAGTTCACCAGAGACACATGAACAGGTCTCCAGTTCACCAGAGACACCTGGACAGGTCTCCAGTTCACCTGAGACACCTGGACAGGTCTCCAGTTCACCAGAGACACATGGACAGGTCTCCAGTTCACCAGAGACACCTGGACAGGTCTCCAGTCTCCATCAGGGACACAAAAGAGACAATCAACCATCCACACTCTGTCACACCTGGAGTCACACAGAAGAGCTCCAGAAGGTTGAGAACTCTGGACTCAGATCATCTGCTGCACACAGTTCTGATCACTTATTATCAATAATAAATTTATTAATAATTATGAAGAGGAGTCCTTAACTAGGATGTAGTTAGGCAATTAAATATTCATGTATGTGTAAGTTTATTACCATAATTGCAGGAGAGTCGCGTAAATTTATGTTTTCATAAAACAAGTACGTATCCCCACCCCCCACCCCCAAGACCAATTTCCTAGGGGAAACACTGAAGAGGTTGGTTTTTTTTTTTTTTCTAGCCTCCTTACCGCTCTCAAAACTTGTTATCAAGAAAAAAATCATGGCTTCAGACATGAGCAAAGGTGACTCATCATTTTTTTCTAAACTCCTGTTGTGGTCAGTGAAATGAAAACTTTTTGATAACGGTGAAAATGCTTGCTATTATATTACCAACAACCTTTTTTTTTAAAACTGGAAGCAAGTGGTTGAAATTCAGGTTTGAAAATAAAATGCTTCTCTGAAGTAATTGCCGTAGAAGTTTCTTGATGATTGTCGAACTTTTAAATTATAGGTCCGTGTCTGTGTGTAATATTTGTGTATTTTTGTCTGTTTGTGTGCCAATGCTAACACGCTGCTTTAGTAAACATGACTCACAGTGGGCTTCCTGACTCTGTAAGCTGCACAGTTGGAAACTGGCTGAAGATCTACTGAAAACAAAAAACGAAAAAAGAAACCACTCGGCTAACTCCCACGTTCAAAAATACGCACACACGCTGACCCAGGTGTATAACTGATCGTTTCACCTTTGTGAAATATCCCTCCTCGCTCTTTATCATCTTAGGAAATGGTGCTCCGTTATAAGTGTGAGGCCATCAGGTGAATGAGTCAGAGAATGAAAAAAGTTAGAAAAAAAGAGTATCTGAGTCTTCAGTGGGAGGATTGTTGTTGCAGATTACATCAATACAAATGCCAGGAAAAGTGCTTTCTGCATTTGGTTGTTGTATATTTAGGACAGTTTATGAGTCATGTATTATATGGATGAGTTCAGTTGTTTAACACAGGTGTTTTTATCATTCAGTACAATTTCTTTCTCATAAACGTACCATAAGAAGTAGCAAAAATTATTATTATTTTGTTTCGAAAAGAAAACTACCAATTATTAAAGGACATAAAACTATATTTGCACTAAAAAAAACAAGAGTTTGGTAGCAAACACTCATGGGAAAATAAAAGTCTACTCTGAATTTTTGGGTTTTATGCATCAGTCCTTTGGTTGACCATGAACTTTTCTGGAAACCAAAGGGTTCTAGATTATGATGTGAGACTGTCTGTCTGACATTTGATGCTTGGACCAAACTGGGACGATGGTTCCAGATTGTCACAACGGTCCAGTCAAAGTTCAGACGCCAATGTGACTGAAAGTCTGGGGCCATTTTGGATTTGTTTTTTTGATTAATAAACTATGAAATAATGAAATCTGTTTGTTTTGTACACTTGAGATTAGATTAGAATCATTTTGGATTGCCTCCTGGTTAGGGCTGCAACGATACAGAAAATTCACAATTCGGTTCGATACGTTAATCTTACGTTTCAAGATTTATTCAATACAAAAAAAGAGAACTTTTCATGCCCCTTTGAACTCTTAATTTATTGAAATTAATTATGAACATTTGTTTAACTTCAAAAGTACAGTTTTTAAATTAAACGTTGCTGAAACAGAAAGTTTCTCAGTGGATCTGTCCTCCACAGTGCAGCCTAGGTGGAGTAATCGAACACAGATCCACTGATCCTTCAACACAGAGCATCTTCAGAAGACAAGTTGATAAAATAAATGTTAAAAATCTGTATTGTTCCATACAAGTGTGTATTGAACGGTTCGATACAGATACATGTATTGTTGCGTCCCTGCTCCTGATAAATAAAACCCTGGACTTGAGGGTGGGCTTTGTTTTCTCCCACGGCTGTAACATCTTCAACTGATACTGGCAGTTTTTAAGGTCAGCTAGCTCTGTCATTAACATCAGCTAAATTCTTCATCATTGCCATCTTCATCATACTAACATTATTGCTTTTCCATAGGAAACACGTATTTGAAAGACGAGCTTTTATTAATGAGATAAGCGATAAGCTCGGCTCCTCTCCCTGACATTTTTCTCTCTCACCCCTCTTGTCTGATCAGCGGATTTATGTGTGACAGATATTCTCTGATGTCACCGGTCTGTGTTTAGAAATGAATCCCTCTTCTCCTCACTAACAACTCCTTTTTTGTATCTCACCTCTTCTTTTGTTTCCCCAACCCCGTCTATGCATTTCCTGCCGACTGACTCGCACCCTTTCAAACATCACTCCACCCTTTTCTTATCTTTTACCTCATCCTTCACCTCCTTGACTTGTAACTCTTTTTCTTCACGTGTGACTGGGTATTGGATTCTTAACAGTGGGCAGCAGGCAGACCACCTCTCCAGCCTCTGTGACAGCGGCCGCGGCAGCAGTGGCTGCAGCCGCCGGCACCACCGCAGGGCTGGTGGAACAAGGTAGCACGGTGGCTCACCCGGGGCATGCCACCCCCTGTCCCCCCCTGCTCTGTTTCCTGTACCTGTTTAATTTGATCTTTCAGCTCATTTCTTCTTCTAACTCTCCTCCTTTCCCCCCCCCCCTCCTCTACCCTTCTCCTCCCTGAGCATGGGAGTTCGGAGCACGATGGCTAACTGTCTCCCATCAACTCATCAGATGCAGGATTAGCTATGTTTTCATCCAGCTGTGTGATTTGAATAGGATTTTTAAGTCTACTTGCTTTATGTAATAAACCTTTTAATGCTTAAAAATACCATTAGCAAAGCAGATACAGTATTTTATGTTTAGTTTTAGCTTGAGTGACTGATTGTCTAACCTTTAAAATATAGACCAGTAGTTTTATGACACACTTTTATTATTATTTTTTGTTTCAGAAAAGCTCAACTGAGTATTTCAGTTTGCACACTTCCATTCTATGGAGGACCGAAACTGACATAATTAGAAATAAAAGCACAATTATATACAATATATTGACCAATAAATTAATATATACACTTAAAATGCACCAATTAAATTAAAACAGGTCTCTCTTGTAAATGAGACAGAGTCTCAAGAGATTTTCTTGTATAAATAAAGGATCAATAAATAAAAGAATAAAGGAGAAGTTCACCTCATGTTTTATAATTTAATTTACCATCATATTTATTTTTCCAGCTTAATTCCAATAAAGTATATATTTTAGAACATAATATACATTTAACTTTTTATTTTTTTTAAAGCTAAACTGAGGCAGCACAAACATAGAGCTGCACTTGGATCCTGCTCCTTCTTGTCTGTTGACCAATAAGAGAGGAGCTGACCCTAGAAGCTCCGCCCACCTTATTTATATAATGAGACACAAATGCACAAGGTCAAGTAAGAACAGGAGACAGGAATATGTAAAAGCAACACATTGAAATAAAAAGACTTAAATATTATAGTTTAAGAGACAAATGCATGTACAAGCAAAAGGAAAAACAAAAAAACAGATATTTTTAAGTAAATAAAATTTAACTTATATGCTAAAATATATAATTTATTGGAACTAAGCTACAAAAATAATTATGACAGTCAATTAAATTATAAAACATGAAGTAAAGTTCTTCTTTTTAAATTTAATTTGTACATTTTAAGTGTATTTATTTATTTATTGGTTAATTTATGTATTTCTGCTTTTATTTCTATTTATGACAGTTTCTGTCCTCTGTACAGTTCTAATGTTGATGCTTTATAATTAGTGTAAAACTTAACGGATGAAAGCCCAGCTACTGCTGTCAGCACATCTGTCACCTTCTGTCTGAGACCTGATGGTGTGGCTTCAGTGCCTAATCACTGCTCTGTCATCACTCTGGTTCATCTTGTCACCTTTATCTTTAGACACAGTCTCAGAGTATGGCCTTGGTCCAGTCAGACTGCTGTCCTGTCTCTGTCTTCTTTGTCTCTTTCTATCATTTCAATCCTCTAACACCCTTCCTTAATCTCATTCCCATCTTCCTATATTTATACCTTGTCTTTTACGTCACCCACTTCATCAGTTTCTCTCCGATTTTTATTTTATTTTATTTTATTTTGTGTGTTCCCATCCCCACTTCATATCAGAACTGTTCTTTCCCTCTCCTTTTTCTCTCTGTTGGACAATGAAACTGGAAAGTTCACCCCAGTAAATTAAAGGATGGAAGTGCCTGAGAGCTGTCGTTGAATGCTGCATGGAGCACTGGACTGGTGCATGCGCTGCCACACGAGAGATTTTTGATGCATGATGAACACTGCAGGCGATGCAAGGCTGGGCTTGCTCACAGACTCAAACTTTTGAAGATGTTTCTTTATCTTGCCAAGGTGCTTTCTGATTGTCATGTTATCTGAGCTGCACCTCCACTGCATGGACGTGTTACAAGATCTGATCTAGAAAATGGTGTAAACATCAACTGACTTTGCAAGATTATTGTGCTGTTTATATCAGAGGTGGACTTTCCTGGTCCTAAAGGGCCGTTATCTCCATGTTTTACTTGTTTCTCTGCTCCGACACAACTGATTTGTATGGTGCAACATGAGGGCCAAAATTAAGATTATTGCACAACCAGTGGTTGCTACATCCTTGTAGCAGGAGGCTGTATCTATTCCTAAGTCAGCTATTGATCTGATTAATGATAGGCTGGCACTGCTAACTGAGAGGCCAGTGCTGGCAAATGAGAAGGAGACTATTCATTTGTGTTAGCATCAGAGAGGCTAGTGACTAGCATGGATAAGCTGGCATTAGCACTGGAGAGGTTAGTGACTAGCATGGATAAGCTGGCATTAGCATTGGAGAGGCTAGCAACTAGCATGGATAAGCTGGTATTAGCATTAGAGAGGCTAGCGACTAGCATGGATAAGCTGGCATTAGCATTGGAGAGGCTAGCGACTAGCATACCTAGGCTGCTCGCCTATTGACACAAACCTTTTTGAATAAGGAAAACTTTCTCAACAAAAATGGTTAACAAACAAAACCTATTTTATGAGAAAAGTGAAAACTATCAAGTTGGGTCTTTTTACAGTTTTTGACAGGGTATTAAATTAAATTAGGCTTCTCTATATTGAATTATAATTTAAAATGTCATATACTGATATTTCTCATAATTTGGACAAAGAGAAAAAAAATCACAGCTGTTGACTAATAGACGAGGGCAAACACAGCTGCCAATTCAGGTGGTGACTAAAGCTGTCTGCTTCAGTAATACGTTTTATGTTTAATATTTATGCTTGACGTCAAATTGAACAGTAAATTATTTCTAAGAAACACCTGTCAGTGCATGGCGCTTATAGGTTTTGTATGCCAACCATTTTTGTTGAGAAAGTTTTCTTTATTCAAAAAGGTTTGTGTCTAATAAAGTAGGTGAGCAGCCCAGGCATGCTAGTCGCTAGCCTCTCCAATGCTAGCACAAATAAATAGTTTCCTTCTCATTTGGCAGCACCGGCCTCTCAGTTACCAGGGCCAGCTGCTCAGTTAGCAGTGCCGGCCTATCATTAATCATATCAATAGCTGGTGTAGGAACAGATATAGCCTCCTGTTACAAGGATGTAGGAACTGCTGGTTGCGCAATACTCTTAATTTTGGCCCTCATACCCCGCCATAGTTTTGAAGAATAAGTGATTACCAAGTTTCTGCAGAACTTAGTAGATGTAATTCAATCACAGAATCAGGTGTGTTGGAGCAGAGAAACAAATAAAACATGCAGAATAACAGCTGTCAAGGACCAGGATTGCCCACCTCTGGTTTATGCTGAATGTGAGTCAAACTTTCTGGTACAGTAAGATTATAGATAAAGTAAACAAGTTGAAAACATTTTTAGATTACATTAACCTGTTGCAAAGCATAAGGTCAAACACTAAATGGTGCCATTTGTAAGACTTTACTCCAGCAGTTTTCCAGGAATACTGAATTCAGTTCTGGAATGAGGATCAGTGCAAATAAAGAAATTGACTGAAGCTGCCAAAAACTAAACGAAAGCTCGAGTCACTTAATGGACCTACATTAGGCTGGCTGTAGTTTGTGTAAGAAAAAAAATATAGTAGAACTGGACAAACATAGGACGTTTATTTAAAACTATCAGTGTTTTTCTTTTGTTTTTTGAAAGGCAGTGTTAAAATTAAATTTCCAGGTTTCCATCGATCTTTAAAGTATTTTTCTCTGTTTGATTCGAGGACCACGCAAACACAGGACTAGCAAGCCTAACAGGAATGGCAGTGTCCTTGTTTCTGCAGCCCACCGGGACTCAGTCCTCCTCGTGTCCCTCAGCCTCCACGAGGCTCCAATCAAATATTTATAATGGACTGCCTCCCCAAATCAGCCTCACAAGCTTACTGCAGACCTTGTTCCGTTCTGCAGATTCATGCACAAATGCAATCAGCATCCAGCAGGAACTCTGCTGCAGAAGTACAGGAAAACACCAACGTTCGATCTGTCCCACTATTTTACATTTTAAAGGGAAGAGAGAGTTACGGCCTTGCACCTGAGCGACCCAGTTTGTCGATGTGAATCCAGGCCCATCCTTGCTCTGTTCTTGCAGTGATGCATCTTGCTATTTCTATTTATTTATTTATTTTTTCAGAAAACTCTTATCAGTCATAGTTTTGTTTTTAATCTCTTCTTCCTCTCTTCTCTCGCTTCATGTGTAATTTTTGGCAAGGTAAGGAGCTTTTCAGGATTCCTAAGAGTTCTTTGCAATGCTTCGATTTTGAGAGCATTGTTATAGTTTGCATTTTTTAATGTATAAAAATCATAATAAACCCCCTTAATAGTTTATTTTCATACTTGCCTCTCTCCCCTCATATCCTCACCTTTTCTGCCAAACCATGAGAAAATATAAGAAGGTGAACTTGACCCCATTTTTTTCCTCCTCAGTAACAAGCAGCCTCTGGAAATAGATGCTTTAGCTCAACAATAAACCATTCAGGCCACCTTCCCATCCCTTTAGACTAGATACCCCTTATTTATCACTTCCACTTGCTTTCCTTTGATTAATAATATAGAAAACTTACTTCAAGCATTGGATCCTTAATTACTAAAGCATAAATGCATGCTTGGACAAAAAGCGACAGATGTTTTTATTTATGAAATTTGCACTTTTTATATTTGTAAAAAATGTTTCTACAATAATTTATGTAATATTTGCCTTCCTAAATTTGTTTTATTATGTCCTCCACATTAAAATCACTGTTCCATGAAGAAGCTTATTGAATTTTCATTAAAATGTGTCTTGTTTGGAGTTGGACTTAAGAAAATTTGACTGGAGCTCGATGTTCAGGAGGAAAGGGAAAGAGGGAAATGAAGAGAGAGAGAGAGAGAGAGAGAGAGAGGGAGAGAGAGAGAGCACACAAAGGAGGGGGGAAAATCCAGACTGCCATAAATAGTTTTTTTTTTTACATAACTGGCTGAATGCTGATGCGATTGCATCTGATTAGAGTTGGAATTGCACTCAGCCACCGGAAGAAGAATCCCTGCCAGGACTTTTGTCTCTGGAAGTAAATAAGTGATGATTTGACGCTTGAACTTTCAGGTCATTATTTGTTCTTTAAAATATACCAACTGTACTTTGTAACAGACAGATCAGCTGGAATGTTGTGTAGGGATGCAACGATTCACTCAAGCCACAATTTGATTTTAAGTTTTTGCAACAAAATGAATTGCAGCCATTTTACAGTCAGATATGTTTATTTTCTTTTAACATCAGCATTTTTGTCATATCAAACTAACTGTCTGTTGTCTTCAACTTCAAAATAAATAAAACAAAAATCAGAGTAATCTGAGCAAACTTCCAGGCATCAGGGAAAATAGWCTGCACAATACATAAATTAAGCAAATGATGAAACAATGGTTAAAAAATTGTTGGCATGCATTTTCAAGAAATCCATATTTATCTTATATTTGTCAAATGCATGTGAGCCATTTAGAGACTGGAGTGTATTCAAAACATCACTCTGTGAAATTTCAGAAAATGAAAATTGCTTTGAAGTGTCAGGATATTTAAATAACTTTAAACTATTAGCTTGTCCCGGTAATGATGTCCTTACTGAAGAAATAAAATATTCATTAAATAAGTTAGCAATTTTTTCATGATCAGAAACAAGAAGTCCATTTACTGAGATTTGTGAATTGTTATTAAAAGTTTTATTGTTACTTTCACCTGTCACTGACTTAATCGTTTCCCATAATATTTTTGGATTCTTACTGGCTGAAATAATTTGATTTTTAAAATATTGTTTGGCTTTGCGTAATTCAGCAACACATTTATTTTGGTAACTGTTTAAATGAGATCGATTTTCAGAAGTTTTTGATATTCTATAAGTTTTCATTGAAGAAGCTTTCAACTTTAGGAGATGTATTATAGAGGCATTCAACCATGGAATTTTATTTTTCTGGACTGGAACTTTACAAGTTGAAATYTATTTTTCCTGTATTGTCTCCAACTTATCATAAAAATTTGACAAAATGCGATTTGGATTTGACAGAGAAATACCCTCATTCCAGTTAGTATTCTCAATRTCAGCATGAAACATGGSTAACTTTGATTTTGGAATCCTTTTAATGAAATTATACACATGACCTGTAGGTTTCTTAAGGTTTTTTCTAATGACATAAATAAGTGAATGATCCGAGATTGAAGTATTTATAACTCCAGATATGCCATATATGGAGGATCGATTTGTGAAAATAAGATCCAAAATGGAATTGCATGTCTTGCCAAATCTTGTTGTTGAAGCCCTCTTGGAGGTCCTCAAAAAATTTCACTAAATTGTTAATTTCGTTTTTATTTTTAAAAATGCATGAAGAACAACGAACTAATAACACAAACACAATAAACTAAATAAAACTATATATTCCCATGGCATTTAGGGGTTGAAACAACAGTAAATTATCTTTTAAAACAGCATGGGGTTTATGAGGGGGCCCCAGGAATATTTTTCGCCATTGTAAGGGGTCCCCAGACCCAAAAGGTTTGAGAACCCCTAATCTAGTGGATAAGTGATACGCATATGACCAACACGTCTAACAGCTTTCACGCTCAGCTGTTGACAACAACGTTGATCAATAATATTTAAAGAAATAAATTAGTGCTTATAAATTTAGCAAGTGCTAATCCACTAATAAATTAAGAAATTAGCAAAAGCCCTTAAGCACTAATTAAAAAATTAGTTCCCATATTAGTGCTTTAGGGGAACTGTGCCCACCACTGCTATTAAGCCATTAAAAGTTTAATTTTCAAGCTGTTAGACTCTTTATTTTGGTTTTCTTTATTGTGCATAAAAGTTTTAATTGACTCTTTTCTGGTAGTTGTTTCATTTTTCCTAATGGCATGTAAATGATAATAATACACTAAGCTTTGTGGGTTAACTTTGTGAACACTGAAAAGTGCTTTTTTAAATGCTTATTCAATAATACCAATAAGTCTGAATCTACGATACTTTGGTACAATGTTTGGTAATGCTTTCTTTTATGGTACCCTTATTACCGTGTAATTAAAAGGTAATGAAAAATGTAATTAAATGTAATTACTACCTTATTACCATGTAATTTTGTGGTAATTATGGTACAAGAGAAAAACTACTGTTAGTACAACTACCTTTATTGGGTAACTACAATCAAATTACTATTCAAAAGTAACTCAACACTATATTAATAAACAAAAGAATGCAACTCAATTTTGGGGTTAGTGGTTAATTGCAATAAAATATAACTTTAAAACTCTCCAAATTACCTGCTACTTATTTAGGTGTTACATAGTGAATTGTAAAACATTACCTGGAAAGTGCTACTTTACTGCAGACAATTAATTACACAATAAAATTGTACTACCATAACATACCCTAATTATCACGTAATTACATGGTTATAAGGTGGTAATTACATTTATTTAATTTTTATTACCTTGTAATTACATGGTAATAAGGGTACCATAAAAGAAAGTGTTATCCAATGTTTTAACCGTTCAGACGTTTTTGCTCATTTATTCTTCAACATTGTCTTTATCTTCAATAGTCTTCAACATTACAGAGTCTGACCCACTTTTTGAGCCCCTTTGAGTGAACATATATATAATGTTTAATGTAAAACATCTTAAGCTGTTTGTTCACTGTCTGAACTCTTGATACAAATCACATTTTTAGTTTTATATTGGACTGAGTCTACTGCAGTATTCTCCTTCAGTCCTTTTATTGGAGCGCAAACTGAAAACGAATCCTCCTAAAGGCCGCCACAGAGTTCCCTGAGGTGGTGTTTCTCCTGCTCCCCAAGGGAGGGGAAGACAATGTTTTAAGACCTGATGTGAAAGGATAAATCTGGATACTTTTTTTTGTTTCACTGACAACAACACTTGATGAAATATAAATCCTCCTGAGCAGCTGTGTGGAATCTGTTCTTGGATTACAGTTCAAGCCACTAAATAAAGCTCTAACAGCCTCCAATAAATCCAGTTTCGCCCATGAAAGTGCAGCTTAATTGAAGTGCGTCCTGTTTTGGAAGGAAGCGAGATCAAGGCGCGTTGTTTGACAGGTAAATGAGTCACTTGCTCAGACTGTGCAGGATTACGAAGGTGGGAGCGTTTCTGTGCAGGAAGAGTGACTTTGCTGCATCTGTAAGAGTGTAAGATGTTAAGGTGCCCTTTCTCTGTCCGCCTCAGGCTATCTGAGTTGATCATTACTTTCTAAAAAAGACTATGTTGCTACAAAAGGTCACTCAAGAGCTCTGTTTTACAAAGTCAAACGGATGTAGTCTCTGAAGGCTTTAATGTGGGTTAAACACACTGTTTGACTGTTTTTTATGTTTGTCAATGCAGCAGCCAAGACTCTGCTCAACAAAAAGGCAGACGTTAAGGTAAGATTTCCTCCCTCGCATTCTGCGTCCTCCTTGTTAGGCTCTTGCTTCGATAATTTTCAGCCTAGATCGGCTGCTTTGTTTCGTTTTTACAGTTGTGATAAATGTTAACATTGTTTGTTTTTTGGATTTGTGTGCTTCTGAATGAGGGCTGCTGGGTGTTCTGCACAGACGTTTTGAAAATGCAGGATATTTTTGGGAGGTTTTGATGAAATACAACAGCCCTTATTTGGTTTCACGTCAACGGGCATGCATCTGTGTGCAATTTGTGATTTTTTTTTTTGTGGCGTTTTCGCTTTTGTAACAGCCTGCCGGTGCACAAGCTTCGAGCAGAACACCCTTCTGAAAGCAGCCATTATTTTTGATCCGCTCATCGCCACCTCTCCACATCTCCATTATTAAGTGAAACCATCTGTTAGCACTCCTCGTTTCATGGCTTTCCTCTTCTCCTCGGCCTCTTCCTCCCCTGTCAGTGCTTCCCTTTTCCTCCTCACCCCATCTGGTCTTTAACCCCACAAATCCCGCTCATCTTTTTTAACGAAGATCTCTCACCATCCCACGCCGACGCAGACACGCCGCAGTAACACATCTCACGCGCACACGCTTCCGTCCGTGCACGCTTCCGTCCGTGCACGCGACGGAGCACGGAACATACTGTTCGGAGCCATCACGTCAGCCGGAGCGTTGTGCGCGCGGGACGCTCAGGTGTGCGTCTGTGCCTGGAAGTGCAAATGTTGGCGAGAGCATGCCATCACTTGGAGTGTGCGTGAGCGTGGGTGTCCATGTGTGTGTGTCGGTGTGTGTCGGTGTGATGCCCTCCCCCTCTTCCTCTCTGCTCGTTGGGTTCAGCAGGGAATGTGACTCCGGTTCCAGGAATAGCTGCCAGTCTGGACCCTGGAAACTCAGACAACAGAAATAGACGCTCGCTTCCCTTGCGGCGCACTCATCGCCTAGCAACAGGCTCCCCACGCACTCGCCCCAAAGCCTTTCTAAAGCCGTCCTCTTCATTTGCTAATGTCCCCACTTTCCTCCTCTTCTTTTTAAATTCCTCCCTCTTCTCCTTGAATCTGCTTCCTCCCTCCTTTTTGTTTTTGCGGTTCTCCATTTCTTGTCTTCCTGTCCTTTTTTTAACCTTTTTTTTTAATCCGCTCGTCGGCGGCACCTGATGCTTTTCAGCTGTAGCACCTGCCCAGAGCAAGCAGGTGGTCTCTCTTTGGCACTTGTTCCCACCACCTTTAGCCTTCTGTGCTGCTAGCTACCACGCTTCAGAAACCACTTCATCCAGCATCAAGCTGTTTTTAAAAATTAGTACAAAACAACAGATTTTGCCTGAATTTTCAAAAAAAATAAAATTAAGTTTTTTTGAATTTATAAACAAAGAAATATTACAAGTAACATTAAAAGTTTGTCATGATTATAAATTTAAATGAATTCTGGGTAAATCCCAGTTACTTCTTAGGCTGTGTCCAAATTCAGAGGCTGGGTCCTCCGAAGGTCGAATTATGTCACAGCGATCCAAAGACTCCTCCGATGTAGCCGACAAATGTGCCCTCCTTTTCCCCCGATTTGAGGGACAGGTTCGATGGATCCTTCTCCGTCCATCATATCCCACAATGCAGCGGTTCTTAACCTTTTTGACCTCGGGGTCCAATTTGTTGAACATAAAGTGGCACAAGGCCCAGTCAGACATTACCAATGTGCGGATCAAAATGATAAATATTCTAAATCTTGGTTTAATGTGTATTGTATTTATAATAAATAATAATAGTGATAAAAATAAAATAATAAAAATAGTGCAAGTTATATGACGACCAAAAACATATACATTCAATCAATGTAAGATACAACAGGAAAAAAGGCATAAATGACAACTGAAACATCATTATGGTGCGTTCACACCGAATGCGATTTCAGCGTCAGGAGCAGCAGGTTTACATACAAAGTCTATGGTGGACGCGCTTCAAGCAACGTCGGGAAGTTCTGCGGCGCCTCAAGCGCGATTAGAGCAGCGCGATTTGGACGATTTGGACGATCTGAGCGTCGAACGCTCAGATTGTCCAAATCCTTCAAATCGCGCTGCTCTAATCGCGCTTGAGGCGCCGCAGAACTTCCCGACGTTGCTTGAAGCGCGTCCACCATAGACTTTGTATGTAAACCTGCTGCTC